AGAGAGAGAGAGAGAGAGAGAGAGAGAGAGAGAGAGAGAGAGATGATTTTGGTCAGAAATTTTCAATTTTCTTATGAATATGAATTAGAAAGTCTAACTTCAAAAAAAAAAAAAAAAAAGTCAGTCAGTCAGTCTAACTTCAAAGTTTGAAGTTCAGTTTTTTTCTGATTTTCGTACTCTTTTCTGAAGTGATTTGGGATTGGTCTGTTGAGAACTGGTTTCAACTTTCTAGTGTTGTGTGAGCCTTTGTGAATGTCTGTGGCTCTGTGACAGTATGAAGCTGTCGAGATGTGAATAGTGAAAGGCAGTACGCTGTGAATAGTGAAGCTACTTTTTGGACGCGCACACAAACACGTATGAAAAAATAAAATAAAAATTCATGCGTACTACGACGGGCATACGACGCATGTCTGCGTACATCGTGTACACAGGGATGTCCAGAGATGTGATTGGGTAATTAAGAAGAGTTGCTAAGAAGTGCAATCAGACTCACTTTCAATCACACCTTTTATGCATGTAAACAGTAGCGCAGCAAACTGGCGACATGCGCCCACTCAAAACTCAGAGATATGGCATCCAGATACGAGTTCACTTTCAATTGGCTATGGCGACTCAGCGCCCAAACAACTCACTGTTCACATACACAGGATAACCCTGGATACCCCACACGCTTCACTCTGAACACACACACACACACACACACACACACACACACTGAACACTACTCTAGCTATGGTGGCTATGGCCGCAACTACCTTATCGCTATGCTACGCTCCTTCTCTCTCGCCCACTTCAGCTCCGGGCTCTCTGCAGACCTCCTTGCACAAGTCGCTGTGGCAGCGCTTCCGCATGGCTCACGCAGGAATGAATGAATGGCTGGGCGCTGCCTCTTGATTTATACTTCTGAAACTCGTTCTGCCCTTTGCCATCGGCCCATGGTGCTCACAGTCCCTTGTGGTACTTGCTGAACCGGACTGGGACTGACTGGACCTTACCGCTGCCTGAGTGGGGACTCACTGCTAACCTACTGTCGTTGTACTGCAATTGCACTGCAGTTTGTCAGCCACTTGACTCACCACTTGCCCACTTGCCCACTTGCCCACTTGCCCACGTGCTGACCTTCTAGAAGGACTACAGCGAGGACTTCTGGAACTCGCT